CACACTTGTAAATTTCACTGTTGTTGCTCTTAGTGTTATTTCTTTAACTTAGATTTTCTATAATAGTTCAATTTTTGTTTCAGTGTCCTTTAGTACAACGATGATTCCTGATGAGTGTTGTACGAAAACTTGTTTGAATCCCTTTCTTTCTCTACACAATTTCTTCACATTTTTCATCGTTTTATTGCACATTGTCTCCACAGTTTTACAATACATGAATACAGTGTACACAAATGTCGATCCAGCTTGTATTACTGATTGCGGTTATCAAATTGTTGTCTCCTCGCCGTTTGTTCAAATATTTTAAATCGAGATACACCCAGCCTCAGATAGATATTCTGAATCTAACGCTGAAAGCACGTTTTCATTATCGTAGTGTCGCCCTTAACGTAGGTTTTCTTAGACGATGTTTAGACAATGGATGGGAGTGATGGTGAGAGTGCCGGTGAGAGTGTTAGTGTTGTGCGTAGGTTTCGTGGTAGCAAGTCTTCAGTGTACAATCATCTGCTGGCTAGTCCTGATTGTTGCGGTGCGTATTCTGACTCTTCGTTCACTGTATTGTGCCGTGGTCGTCATGGTTATGGACTACAGTTAAAAGTGTTGGAAGCTATCTATCAGCGTCTGTACAAGCCTAATTTGTGTGTACAGAAAGATAGTATAATTGGGTTGAAGTTGTTCAAGTAACGTGTCGTGTTTAGTGCGGCCAAGCTTGGCCGTTAATGTTCTAGGTGTAATGTACTGCTGTTATGTGTTATCACGTTGTCTTTCCTTCCTTTCTCCTTTGTTCATTTCTCGCTTTGATTGTTAAAATTCACACTTGTAAATTTCACTGTTGTTGCTCTTAGTGTTATTTCTTTAACTTAGATTTTCTATAATAGTTCAATTTTTGTTTCAGTGTCCTTTAGTACAACGATGATTCCTGATGAGTGTTGTACGAAAACTTGTTTGAATCCCTTTCTTTCTCTACACAATTTCTTCACATTTTTCATCGTTTTATTGCACATTGTCTCCACAGTTTTACAATACATGAATACAGTGTACACAAATGTCGATCCAGCTTGTATTACTGATTGCGGTTATCAAATTGTTGTCTCCTCGCCGTTTGTTCAAATATTTTAAATCGAGATACACCCAGCCTCAGATAGATATTCTGAATCTAACGCTGAAAGCACGTTTTCATTATCGTAGTGTCGCCCTTAACGTAGGTTTTCTTAGACGATGTTTAGACAATGGATGGGAGTGATGGTGAGAGTGCCGGTGAGAGTGTTAGTGTTGTGCGTAGGTTTCGTGGTAGCAAGTCTTCAGTGTACAATCATCTGCTGGCTAGTCCTGATTGTTGCGGTGCGTATTCTGACTCTTCGTTCACTGTATTGTGCCGTGGTCGTCATGGTTATGGACTACAGTTAAAAGTGTTGGAAGCTATCTATCAGCGTCTGTACAAGCCTAATTTGTGTGTACAGAAAGATAGTATAATTGGGTTGAAGTTGTTCAAGTAACGTGTCGTGTTTAGTGCGGCCAAGCTTGGCCGTTAATGTTCTAGGTGTAATGTACTGCTGTTATGTGTTATCACGTTGTCTTTCCTTCCTTTCTCCTTTGTTCATTTCTCGCTTTGATTGTTAAAATTCACACTTGTAAATTTCACTGTTGTTGCTCTTAGTGTTATTTCTTTAACTTAGATTTTCTATAATAGTTCAATTTTTGTTTCAGTGTCCTTTAGTACAACGATGATTCCTGATGAGTGTTGTACGAAAACTTGTTTGAATCCCTTTCTTTCTCTACACAATTTCTTCACATTTTTCATCGTTTTATTGCACATTGTCTCCACAGTTTTACAATACATGAATACAGTGTACACAAATGTCGATCCAGCTTGTATTACTGATTGCGGTTATCAAATTGTTGTCTCCTCGCCGTTTGTTCAAATATTTTAAATCGAGATACACCCAGCCTCAGATAGATATTCTGAATCTAACGCTGAAAGCACGTTTTCATTATCGTAGTGTCGCCCTTAACGTAGGTTTTCTTAGACGATGTTTAGACAATGGATGGGAGTGATGGTGAGAGTGCCGGTGAGAGTGTTAGTGTTGTGCGTAGGTTTCGTGGTAGCAAGTCTTCAGTGTACAATCATCTGCTGGCTAGTCCTGATTGTTGCGGTGCGTATTCTGACTCTTCGTTCACTGTATTGTGCCGTGGTCGTCATGGTTATGGACTACAGTTAAAAGTGTTGGAAGCTATCTATCAGCGTCTGTACAAGCCTAATTTGTGTGTACAGAAAGATAGTATAATTGGGTTGAAGTTGTTCAAGTAACGTGTCGTGTTTAGTGCGGCCAAGCTTGGCCGTTAATGTTCTAGGTGTAATGTACTGCTGTTATGTGTTATCACGTTGTCTTTCCTTCCTTTCTCCTTTGTTCATTTCTCGCTTTGATTGTTAAAATTCACACTTGTAAATTTCACTGTTGTTGCTCTTAGTGTTATTTCTTTAACTTAGATTTTCTATAATAGTTCAATTTTTGTTTCAGTGTCCTTTAGTACAACGATGATTCCTGATGAGTGTTGTACGAAAACTTGTTTGAATCCCTTTCTTTCTCTACACAATTTCTTCACATTTTTCATCGTTTTATTGCACATTGTCTCCACAGTTTTACAATACATGAATACAGTGTACACAAATGTCGATCCAGCTTGTATTACTGATTGCGGTTATCAAATTGTTGTCTCCTCGCCGTTTGTTCAAATATTTTAAATCGAGATACACCCAGCCTCAGATAGATATTCTGAATCTAACGCTGAAAGCACGTTTTCATTATCGTAGTGTCGCCCTTAACGTAGGTTTTCTTAGACGATGTTTAGACAATGGATGGGAGTGATGGTGAGAGTGCCGGTGAGAGTGTTAGTGTTGTGCGTAGGTTTCGTGGTAGCAAGTCTTCAGTGTACAATCATCTGCTGGCTAGTCCTGATTGTTGCGGTGCGTATTCTGACTCTTCGTTCACTGTATTGTGCCGTGGTCGTCATGGTTATGGACTACAGTTAAAAGTGTTGGAAGCTATCTATCAGCGTCTGTACAAGCCTAATTTGTGTGTACAGAAAGATAGTATAATTGGGTTGAAGTTGTTCAAGTAACGTGTCGTGTTTAGTGCGGCCAAGCTTGGCCGTTAATGTTCTAGGTGTAATGTACTGCTGTTATGTGTTATCACGTTGTCTTTCCTTCCTTTCTCCTTTGTTCATTTCTCGCTTTGATTGTTAAAATTCACACTTGTAAATTTCACTGTTGTTGCTCTTAGTGTTATTTCTTTAACTTAGATTTTCTATAATAGTTCAATTTTTGTTTCAGTGTCCTTTAGTACAACGATGATTCCTGATGAGTGTTGTACGAAAACTTGTTTGAATCCCTTTCTTTCTCTACACAATTTCTTCACATTTTTCATCGTTTTATTGCACATTGTCTCCACAGTTTTACAATACATGAATACAGTGTACACAAATGTCGATCCAGCTTGTATTACTGATTGCGGTTATCAAATTATTATTATTATTATTATTATTATTATTATTATTATTATTATTGTAGAAGAGAGAAGGACATATGGATACGAGTTAAGAGTAACTCTCCATCACTGTAACATGATACTTTATACAGTCAGAAAGTGCAATAACTAGGCACAAAACTGACAGAGTACTGAAACATTCGACGTCCTGACACCTAGCTTCAACACATCTCCGTAGCGCTAACCGACAGCCTTCCAACTTGGAAGGTTCAAGGTTATGGAAAGACCAAAGAGGGGAAGGCAAGCGCAACGAAAACGAGCAAAAGCTACAGTCCCAACGGAACAAAGAATGTCGATTGTTACTGGACGATGACGAGACCAGTACGATATTTGACAAAGCGGTCTAACTACAATTCGAAGCAGCAAAGCAGCACACCACCCAACTTGGGTGGGTCATAAATATCAAAGATAAGTAAAGAAAGGGAAGCTTTGCGAAAACGAATTGTACAAGCCGAAAGCCAAACTCCTACAGTACTCCTCATGCATGACATTGTGATGGACTAGTTGACTACAAAACAAGTTGTTTCACACGACGTACGTTTCGCCGTATGGTTCGTGACGGCTCATCAGGTGTGCAATATGAAACTCGGATGTTGAGCCATAAATAAATGTATCTGGTCTCGTCATCGTCCAGTAACAATCGACATTCTTTGTTCCGTTGGGACTGTAGCTTTTGCTCGTTTTCGTTGCGCTTGCCTTCCCCTCTTTGGTCTTTCCATAACCTTGAACCTTCCAAGTTGGAAGGCTGTCGGTTAGCGCTACGGAGATGTGTTGAAGCTAGGTGTCAGGACGTCGAATGTTTCAGTACTCTGTCAGTTTTGTGCCTAGTTATTGCACTTTCTGACTGTATAAAGTATCATGTTACAGTGATGGAGAGTTACTCTTAACTCGTATCCATATGTCCTTCTCTCTTCTACATTTATTTATGGCTCAACATCCGAGTTTCATATTATTATTATTATTTAAATTTTGAAGAATTCTCACGGCGTTGTCTCCCCATGTTTTCTATTTCCTGTTTCTTTACTGCCCTGAATACTAGTAGCACAAGCGAACTTTGCAAACCTGCTCACATTGCGAAGATGCTAACAATAATGATATGGAAAGAGAAAAGGACCTATAAGTTACTAGTTACTGTAAAAGCAGAAATTTTCGGTGGTGTAATATTTTCGGTATTCTCCAAAATCGGCGGTTCGGTAGCGGGAAATTTTCGGTAAAATCCGTTCTCCAGGTAAGTGTACTAGTACTACATGTATACAGTACCGGTAGCACCGAAATTTTCGGTGCGTTTTATTTTCGGTAAAAATTGTCGGCACCGAAGTTGCCGAAAATAAAACACCACCGAAAATTTCTGCTTTTACAGTATGACTAGCATAGCAGTAGGTCCTTTTCTCTTTCCATACTACTATTGGCTCAACATCCGTATTATACAATGTAATAACAAATCCACCGACTCACCGTATACACCTCTGTGCTGCTGATCATGCTGCCCATGACGTCATCCGGAGGCTGGGTAACCATCGGCAACCGGTAGATTGCCTTCACCAGTATCTGCACCTGGTCCATGGTGAACTTCTCCAGCACGCTATCCGGTATTTCAAACTTCAGGTCGTCGTCCGACTGCGCATCGGCTTTGGCGGGATTGAGCCCGGCAGTGACACTTTCGGGCAGGTCACGCCCCTTACTACCGGAGTTTCCCATCTTGCTGCTGATTGGCTATGGTACCGTTACCGTGACGATTGCTGCCGTCGCTGGTTCTGTTGGTTTCCTTGCGTCGCCCGCTGGAAATGCCTCTTAAGCCGTTGCCACCACTGACACCGCCGCCGCTGCCGTCGTCGTTGTCGTTCCAGCTGTTGCTAGTGCAAGAGATAGATACAGAGCTAGAGCCTACAGCTGTTGAGCAACCCTGACCTGCAGAATACACACAGACACGCCGTGCCGATTCCAATTTATGTACAGTGAAACCTGTCCAAGGCGACCACTTGAGGGAGACGTCACGCCGTCAAGTCCCGTCGAATGTGAGCTACTACAAGTACAATTTGTAGGCTTTTCAGTAGCGCCTTGCTGATTTGGCGCGAAGTTACGCCTTGCTGATTTGGTGCGAAGGTGGGTACGTCACCATGGTATTCGCGTGGCTTGATACAACTTTGTACAAATTTACAAGCAACTCGTGAACCTTTGTACAACTTTGCTGCAGAAACGGTCAAAATCGTACACCACATCGCTTGTCGCATCGCAAAAGTTGAGCCAAGCTCAACTTCTGCGATGGCCCAGTTGCGGCAGTTGCGTGCGCTGCGAGATGGCTACGATTTGGGGATTTCCCGGTTTCGCGGCCGTCGCATCGCGCATCGCATCGTAAAAATGTTTCTGTGAATCCCGGTTAAACACCGGTTCATACTATATTTCGCTTACAGGAAAGCCATGGCGCGATCGCCGCGCGATGTGCCAAATTAGTCGAGCTCAAAGCCTAGTTCATACTTCATTTCGCGTACGGGAAACGCGTCGCATTGCGAAAAAGTTGACTTGAGCTCAACTATTATGGCCCATCGCGCGACGATCGTGCGCCGGATGACCGACTTTCCCGGACGCGAAATGAATCGGTCTCAAGTCAACTTTTTCGCGATGCGACGTGTTTCCCGTACGCGAAATGAAGTATGAACCAGACTTTAGTTGTAGAACGTCAGTACCGTCGGTCAGTGTCGTGCAATGTTATCACATGAGCTGATTATTTAGCCTAAGTAACTGGTGGTGTTAGTGGACATTATAGCGTAACTTGTAGTTCCTTGGTCCTTTCTCTTTTGTATACATTTTTAATCTTAGCTCTCTATCTAGCTACAAAGCCGGGCAGTAAATGCGGAGAGTCTCACTCACCATCGTTCCACAGGAACGTCCTAGAGTCCTCGACGCACTACTGCTAGTACTGGTCCTTGAAAGACGGCGAGTGGGACGGAGTTGCGAGGCGTAGCCTGGTTGAAAACTAAGCCGAGCTCTGGCAGTCAGAGGCAAGCGTCGACTCGAGCGAGTTCCACTCCAGCTCCAGTCCAAACCTGGCGGCGTCGCTACCCAGCGCACCGTCCGTAAATTCACTACTGACACTAGTCTGCGACACGGCTGGTTGCTATACTTTTATAAAGTCAACATCATGAGTGTAGTTTTTGTTCGTAGCTTGATCGCATTACTAGTAATAGTGTGCGGATAGCCCCACCATACCGTTTCTATTCTCCAACTACCGGTAGTTTAGTAGTAACTGTTAGTACTTGCTTTCTCCTGTCTTCATCAGTGAGTAGGCATCATTCATAATCATGGTTCGTGGCCTTGCTGCAGCTCAATGAATGAGATCGATGCTGGATGCAGCCGCAAAGATCAGCTAGTTTCGAGCGGACATCTGCATTACTCACTGGCTGCGTTCGATTATGCAGTTGAATCGATTCATGAATCCATTCACATGCATTCAAGTCGTTCGATTTTCATTTCTGACATGTCACATGACAATCGACATGGCAACAGCGAATCCTAGCGCGACTTGCCGTGCTTTGAATCAGCCACTGAAGACCTGTGAGCGCTTGCAGGTCTCCGATTTTCCAATCGGAGCACGCCCAGGCGTACTCCGATTCAGCCATCAGAGGCCGCTTTTTTTTCTTCTTTTTTTTTGCATATGCCAACAGGAATTCAGAACAAAAGAGAAAAGAGATGGCTGCAGTTCTGGATGGAGAGTCTCCAACTGCAACCAATGCTGCTACCCGTGCTCTTACAGCGCCAACAACGAGCGTTCAGCGATCACAGCAGCAGACTGAGTTCCACGATCCCGACATTGATGAGTACATCGCAACTTGTGACCCAACAGTGCAATCCCCAACTCACCAACGGTCTCTGATGCAGAAAGCTACGAAGACCATCAACTTTTCCGGAGCTCAGTTTGGTGCAAACTGCAATGTTCACCTGCACCTGTAGGCTGTAGGCTGTAGTCACTGCGAAGAAGAGAAGCTGAACTGACCTGGTTTTTAGCTGACTAGACCGCCCTTGTTTTATCTCTGTGTTGTGACTGTGTACATTAGTCATTATGTAACATGTCTGAAGTACTAAACTGGCGACTAGTTGTGTTCCTTGTCTGGTCTAGTGTGCGTGCCTTGAGTAGGTACTAGGTATGTGTGAAGTACTACAGTTGCGCTCGGTGAAATCCGGCCCGAAGTGCATAACTGGCGCCCAGTACTGATGCGGCCCTTGACGCCCTCAAAGTTGTACAAGTGCTAGTGTGCGCGTGTGCCGTATGAACTGTCCATGTACTGTACCAAGAGTAGATAAACAAGAGTGTGCAACTCCGGATCTCTCCTGCACAATCTGCAGATACCCCGCCCACGGCGGAATTTTTTGTTGACGTCACCTTTTTTCAGAGAAACGCGCAGTTTGCCGCAAAGCAGTGTGAGAGCACGTGCTGGACACCGACCTTGTAGTGTAAAGCCCGGCCAAGAGCACGAGGGAAAACTTTCCGAAAGACTCGCAGCGCGTGCGTCGTCGAAAAGATTACGTCAACAAAAAATTCCGCCGTGGGCCAACCCATCCGCGAGTTGCACACTCTTGTTTATCTACTCTTGACTGTACTCATACGCATGCATGCTTACACCAAAGTGTAAAAACCGCGCCAAACAAAGACAAGTGTAACATTCATTTCAGTTCAGCACAAGTAAAGAAGACGGAGATCGTTTCGAAGCAGTTTATTTCATACACAGAACAGCAGGGCTTCAATATTTTGTGTGGCCACCGTCAGCTTCGATTAGGGCTTCAACACGACGTGACATTGACTCCACGACTCCACGTATGGGGAAACTGTGTCAGGACTCAACGAGTCCCACGCCAGGTGCAGTGCCTGCACCAGCTGGTCAGCATTCTCGCAGCGATGTGGAATTATTCTCTTCTTGAGAAGAGCCCACACATTCTCGTTTGGATTCATGTCCGGCGAGCAGGGAGGTTGAAACAGGATGTTGGGTATTCCGCTATCGAGAAGATCCTGCTGTGCTTGAGTGAAGGGAATGAAAGAAATTTTGAACTGTTTTTAGCATGCAACACGTGCACTCCGAACTTTTACACGAGGTGCGTACAGTTGAGTTCATACACACAAATCGCCAGTGATGTAATGGGAGCTGGCTTCGCGGCGCCGGCTTTGCACTTCGGGCCGGATTTCACCGAGCGCAACTGTACATGTAGTAGTACTAGTCTGTCCCTGCGGGAATTTGCGGAAAAAACTCTCGAAAACTTGCGCAAGAAATTGCGGCAGAAAACAACAAAAAATGCGACGAAAAGTGCGGAATGATGCAGAACTTGCCAGGAATTCGCGGAATTATTTGCAGAAAATTGCGGATTTGGGCCAAATCACGAAATTTGTTGCATCGTATATCTACTCCGGAGTAGTACTACTACCAAGAGTACTGGTTTTCATGTACTCTTGCTACTACTAGTCATACTGCGCAAATAACCTACAGGATCATGGAAAGCACTGTGTGAAAAGTGCATGAAACATGTGAGATATAGTGCAGAAAACAACAAAAAACGCGGGAAATCGCGGATTTTGCTGAAAATCGCGGGTTTGGGCCAAAATCGCGAAATTTGTTGCATCCGTGGAATCGCGATTTCCTGGAGGGACAGACTAGTAGTACGAAGTAGTTCGTGCAATGCATGTCAGAAATGGTATCAAAGCATTCGTACTCGGACTCAAGTGCTAGAATCGGAGCCCTCCGCGCTAGCGCGCGTCGGGCTCCGATTCCGCACTTTCGTCCTCGTACTCATGCTCGATTCCATACGTCATGAGCCCTGGAATCGATTCGGAATCCATTCACTCACAAGGGGTGATGTGAATTATTTTAGCGCGAATCGATCACACCAGGGAGTCGTAAAATACCTGATCGTACTCACTATGACAGGGTCACCATGGTCATGTTCATCATGTACAGTGTTGGCCAGAAGTTTGGGCCTACCTATAAATTTTTGGGGTTTGGCACAATACAGTGGTGCTGCCAGGTTGTGTATCTTCAAACCTGCTGCAAGCCCGATGAAAACGCGTGAGATAAGTTTTCTACAGCGCACGCGCGCTTCAAAACAAATTTTCAGGTGAAAATCATGAAAAAGCTAGGCCCAAATTTTTGGCCAAAATATTTGAAATTTGTACGGTACCGTACGGTACAAAATGTGTGATGCAAAACCAGCGGGAAATTCAACTGCACAACTCGTGGTGGTCCTCACGACACGAACAACAAATTTTAGTTGCTGTTTTTGACATTTTTCCTTCACCATGGGTCGATCCAAGCACCTTTGGCTCTGACGTGAGGGAGTTGGCAGTGAAGATGAATAATGATGGCCTCTCTTCGAATGATATCGCCAATTTGACCCGCGTTTGTGCGCGCACGGTGAGAAAACTGTCACCAGGTTCGCAGTGATGCAAAGCTGCAAGAATTAGCCTCGTTCTGGTCATCCAAGGCTGACGTCTGCTCGTGACGACAGGTACCTCAAGGTGATAAATCTGGCTAGCAGAAGGACTTTGTCGTGGGAGCTCAAGACAGACTGGTGCAAAACCGTGGCAAACATGTCCCGAGCCGTACGGAACGTCCCAGACTGCTGAAAGCTGGCCTGAGAGGCTGCAGGACCACAAAAAAACCGTATATCAACCAGAAAATTGAAGAAACAGCTGGTCTTTGCCAGGGCCCACCAAGGATGTACTGTGGACCAGTGGAGCAACGTACTGTGGCCCCACGAGTTTAAATTTAATATGAGAGCATCAGATGGTGTGGTGTATTTCAGTTGTTGACCAGGTGAACAACTTGTGCCAGAGTGTACTGTTGGCACAGTCAAGCACAGTGGTGGCTGCATCATGATACGGGACCGCGTCGCCAGCAACGGGGTCGGGCGGCTCTACAACGTTAACGGAGCGATGAAAGCAGACCAATACCAAGGAATACTGCAGAACAGTATGCAGCCGTCCATGGTCGATGTGTTGCGCGGTCTGGATGATGTATTTGCGCGCGCACACGCGATAAAGGCGTAATTGGCGGACCGCCCATATCGCGCCCTGGGGCAGCCGACGCAGTCGCCGGACCTGTATCCGACTGAGGATTTGTGGGAAATGCTGAATTGTCTCTGCCATGATGTTCCCCAAGTCCCATCAACAGAAACACAGCCTGGGGAAGTGTGCAAGACAGCGTGGCGGAAGATCAGCAGGGACAAGTACACGAAACCCGTCTCGACCATCCCGGCGCGCATGGAGGCTGTCGTCAAGGCAAAGAGAGGACCTACTAAGTGGTAAAATTGGGCAAACAGTTCACTGATAGGTTCTTAGCATGGAAACAAATCATTTCGATTAGATTTAGTTGATATCTATTAGCTAGTCACCTGGATTTTGCTGTTTTTTAATTTTGGCCGTAAGTTTGGGCCTACGCTTTTTCGATTAAATTGACTTTATTTTATTTTACAACTATCTAGCCTTCGAAAGATGGATCAGAGTATGATCTCTTCGGTAGATAGCCAACTTCAGTAGTTTTGTTCGTGCACTATACAAAGATTCTCCCTAGAAACCTGTTTTATCTTGGGTAGGCCCAAACATTTGGCCAACACTGTACGTAGAACTAACACTATGCAGTGTCACACAACTAACTAACTTCACAAGTCGAGACACGACTACTAACTATTAGTACTTAGTAACTAAACACTTAGATATGTTCATTATTTTCTGCAAGTCTTGTCTCGTGTTACGGTTGTGCACCGAATCGGATACGAGACCTACATAACATTATTATCAAGCGCGTGTATTTACCGCCATATTGCCAGGGCGTGTTTACCACCATATTATTATTACATTTTTATGAATAAAAAACTCAGAAAACATTATCAAGAGTACATAACCCCCCCCCCCCCTTCTGGCCCTCTGGGGGGAGGGGGGAGGGGGGTTATGTACTCTTGCTGAGTATACTAGACCCCAATACAAAGAAAACCTACCTAAATACCGTAATGTCTCGTTACCGTATAAAAGACGTGCCAACAATTCCTGTAGAAGCCGATGTCCGTGCTTGGCTACTGCATATAGTAGTATTCGAACCACGTACATGTATCTCTATGTAATCTTATACTGAGCTTGTAAGTTGTATACAAACTCCCATCTCTCCCCACACAACACTCCAGACTTGTATTTTGCATATA